CACCAGATGCTCCTTGGAAACCCTGAACAAGGTTGCTGTAAGTCGGAATGGACTCGATGGCACTTAGTAATAACAACAACAACATTTACCCATTTAGCAGTTGAGATAATATTTATATATATAGCTATAAGATTGTATTTAGGTTGTATCCACATTTGGGCAGTTTAAATAATGTTAGCATGAACTTTCAAGTACACGTTTTTGTGGAGACACCTGTTTTTGTTTCCCTTGGGCATAATATCCAGAAGCGGAAATACTGGTCATATGATAATTCCATGTTTTAACTTTTTGAGGAACCCCCCCAGACTGTTTTCTACAGCAGGCACACTACTTTTACATGTCGACCAGTAATGTCTAGGGGCTCCAATTTTTCTACATCCTCTCCAACACTTGCTATTATTAATGATTTTTTTATTGCCATCTTGTTGTTGTGTTCTGACTCACAAGGACCGTGATAAGGTTTCCGAGGAGTGGCTGGTGGGTTTAAACTACCAACCTTGTGGTTAGCAATCCAGTGCTTATCGTACAGTGCCATACCAGGCCTCCCAGTGGGTGTGAAATGGGTACCCATTGTGGATTTGATTTGTGTTCCCTTAATGATAGAATCATTTTAGGTACTTATTGGGGGGTTCTATTTTTGTTATTCTTTCATTAAACATTTTTCTTTGATGAGTTCCTTTTGTATAGTCAGGTCTATGATCAGGGCCCTGACCTGAGATTGCTCACACTCTAGTAGGGAAGCAGATCAGTGTACCCGAGGAAGATAATAGAGGACAATGTGTAATAAGAACTTGGAGGAGGAAGGAGGAGATGAATAGAGACCAAACAGATAAGGAAGGAGAAGAGGCATTCCAGTTAGACAGGAGAGTGTGGAGCCATAGATGTAGCTGGTGGGAGTTAGGCTTTCACACCTCAAGGAGGAAAGCCTTCAGCAGGCCCCAGGCCACAGGTAATAGCTGCTGAGCTTTGTCATCCACCATATATTTATCTTCACAGGGTTCTGTTACATTCAAGGCACATTTATTTACTCAGCTGATTTGATCCCTACTTGAGGTAGATCTTATATCTATCTCCATTTCTACAGAAAGACAAAAATCACACATACAGATATAGCTGCTTCTCATACCTCAGTACTGGACTTAGAATCCAGGGTATCTGAGTCCACATCCTTCCCCCATCTGCAGGCTAAACCTGAGCTTTTCTTAACTTGGGATTCAAGGCCACTTATTTTGTAACCCCAACCAGCTTAACTCACATCTCACCTCTCCTGTCTATAAATGAGGCATTCTCATATAAATGTTTTCCCAACCTTCTTTTGGCTTCCGTGCTTTCCTTCTCTTGTGTGGTCCAGACTCTCATCATCCTTAATAACTATCATTTATTGACTGTCCAAGTACTGTTGACTGTTCTCAATGTCTTCACATCGAGTATTGACAGTGTTCATAATACCCTGGTAATGTGAGTAGGATTTTTTTTTTTTTTTTTTTTTACTTCAGGTTACAGAAGAGGAAGCAGGCTCAGAGACATTATCACAAAGCTCAAATACTACCTACTGTCATAGTTACATTGACAACAAAAGTTATCTCCCTTGCTCCTGAAATTCTACCAAACCAAAATCCACTGCCACCAAGTCAATTTGGATGCATAGTGACCCTATATGGTTGACTATATAGTTTCTGAGACTATAAATCTTCATTGGGAGCAGACAGCGTCTCCTATTTCTTGTGGAGCAGCTGGTGGGTTTGAACCACCTACCTTGCATTTAACAGCCAAAAGTGTAACCCACAGTACAATCAGGGCTCCTGAACTTCTACAACTTTATTTATCCCTTATTTCAAATTTAAATTATTAAGATCTTAGGCTATCTTTTCTTGGATTTTTATTTTGGATGTTTATCAGTCTATATCACCAGAGCAAGCCTAGCTCCTGCAGAGTGTAGATTCTTGATTAAGTGCTATGCTATAATACGGGAGGAGGAGTTTGGGGGGTTTATACTGTTACTGTTCATGGTACAACACTAACATCTGTGACCTGGAACAATGGTGAGCTCCTTGGGGAGAAGGCCGTGTCTGGCCTTACCCCCTCTGTATCCCTAAATCTGATAGTTGTGCTCAGACAGATGAACTTAGTAACTAACCCTTTAGGATTTCAGTTTCCTCATCTGTATTTTTGAAAGGTGAGTCTAAATGATAGCCCCTCTTGACACCAGTTCTACGCCAGCAGGATTCTGAGCCACAGTTTTGGCTCTGGCAGAACATAGATTCTCATTTCCAGTTTGGTGGCTCCATCTCAAGCCTTTGCCCTTGAACTTGCCAGACCCCAGGCTTTACCCCTAAACATCAGAAATTCTATTGTCACCTTCTTGCCCCTATATCTCTTCTGCCTCTCTGTCTCATTCTTTCTCTTTTCACACTTGCATCCTTGTACACACACACACACACACACACACACACACACACACTATTTGAGGATAACTTTATTTGGAGTACTTTCCTTCAGTTTTGCTTTTTAGCAGCTTCTTGGCTTAGGAAGGGTTAACTAGGATTTGTTGGAGAGAAGCTGCGCTCTTTTACAATCCTGAAAGCCCTGATGTTGTCCATGCCTAAGCCTCTGAATTCTTTTATAGGCACAAAGAGAACAAGAACAGGTCATTCTCATGAAAACAGAACCTGCAGCATCCTCCCCTGGTCAGTGCGAAAGGCCATTTTCATCTTTGATCAGGAAAGGATTGTTAACAAAGATCAACTCTTTCTTCCCTGGGAAGTTCCTTTACACACCACATCTTGCTTAAGTCATCTCTTTTGTTTTTAAATTATGTCTTTATTGACCTTATGATTAATGGAATAAAATGAATCAGACAGAGCATGTTGATAGCCCCCACTCATGTCACATTCATCAAGTACCTTGTGAGAGCTAGGCCCTGTGCAATGAGTTGTGTGAATTATTGATCTCATCCCCACAACTCCTGTGACAAAGGAGGGACTGAGGATCAGAGAGGCTGAGCCCCTTGCCCACTCCTCCTCCCCCTGTCGTGGAAGAGCTGCCAAGTTTCCACTTGGTGTTCCTGTTGTGTTCTGATTCACAGTGACCCTGTACAGGGCTTCTGAGAAGAGCTGGTGGAGTTGAACTGCTGACCTTGTGGTTAGCATGGTTTGCAGACCAGTGCTTATCTTATCCTATAGTGCCATAATAGTTCTCTGTAATACCAGAGTGCTGTCTCTGACTAGGCAGGGCTCCATTTTAAATATCATATGAGAAGATTTGGTATTTTGACTATATTCTGGAGTAGGTATGCCTGTATAAGCTTCCCCCCACTGTTTTTCTAACAAATTGCAAGAGAAGTCTGGTCAGGGGTAGGGAGGTGGGAGTGTAAGAGCATGTTTAGCACATGCTCACGTGCACACACTCACAAAGAACCTTGGAGACTAGATTTAACCATCTATCTGGCCATGTTATACATCCACTGTTGAGTAACATTCTAGAAAGTGCATTTAGCATATAGCAGTCAAAAAGTTTGAGGAGACTGGCTAGCTGACTGGCGGTGTGCCATCCTGTCAGTTCTGACTCATAGTGACCCTGTATAGGGTTTCTGAGTCTGTAAATCTTTACAGAAACAGAAAGCCTCCCCTTTCTCCCGCAGAGCACCTGGTGGACTTGAACTGCTGACCTTGTGGTTAGCAGCCCAACACGTAACCCACTATGCCATCAGAACTCCTTTGAGGATAACAGCAATTTCCAAAGTCTAGTTAAAGCCCAAAAAACAAAACCCCAGAGCACCAGGTGGGGGGCTTCAAAAAGTTCAGGAAGACTTCTACATAATTCCATTTTTCCATGAACTTTTTGAAGCCCCCTTGTATTTTACCAAAGGGGCCAATTCCAGGGCAAGTTCAGATTTCTAGCTTTGGAGCCATTCTGTTTCAATTTTTACTTTTGACAGCTCCAATGAGAGACAGATCTCAGATGCAGAGTTTGAAATTTTTTAGGGAAGAAAAAAAATGTTTTTGTTGTTTTCAGTTGTCTGAAGTTGAGTTTAAAGAATGAGAAAGTGTGGAGCAAAAATATATTTTTTATGCTTCTTTAGTACTCATAAGTACTAGACAGGTTACCAGAGGACTGACTGTTTTCTGCTCCTGGCTCTTCCTCATGCTCACCCTTTGGGAAGATGCCTTTCACCCTCTGGGTTTGAGTTCCCTATTCTCTAAAAGAAGAGCATTAGACCACTTGGTCCAAGACCCCTCAAATTCTGTCACTGCATGTTTTGATACCAACAAAAAGGCACGGTGGCTCTGTAGGATAAGCACAGGACTGCTAACCACAAAGTCAGTGATTTGAACCCGCTAGTCACCCCAAGGGAGGAAGATGAGGTTTTCTGGTCTAGAAAAAGATTTAACGCCTTGGAAACCCTATACAGGGTCCCTTTGAGTCAGAACTAACTTGCCGGCAATTAACAACAACAACAATGTTGTTGATTACCCTTGTTACATTGGCCTTATCTCAGTCTGTCCTGTGTCTGGGCTCTGGGACAGTCTCTGCCTTTCCAGTTCAGGCCTTCACTCTATAAGACTATCATCCCTTTCACGCCTGTTGGTACCTGAGCTGGCAGAAACCCACTAGATTTTCCTGGAAGACACGTGTCTGAGAATAATCTCCGTTGTTGAGGAATGTGCCAGTTTGGAACAGATAGCAATCTAAATGCCATTCCAATTCCAAGATTCTAGAATTCCTTAAAAGGCCACTCTTTAAAGATGTACTTAGAAAAAGCCCTAAACAAATCCCTGGAATGCCTTTTTAATACATTTGTAGGACCATGCTTTTAGGAAACACCCTTGATCACAGAGATTTTATGTAGTCTTCTGCATGTAGGATCCCTGATAGGCCTGACTTTGGTTTGTGCTTCCTTTTTAACTGGTCTGGCGTAAATCATTCTCTAGCATTTCAGGTTATGGGCATTTTGAGCATTCTGACTCATAATGAGCCTTGTTTTTTGATATGCATTTTAGAAGACAAATCTGACCTTGAAAACAGTGTGATGCAGAAGAAAATAAAAATCCCCAAACTTTCTCTCAATCACGAAGAAGAAGATGGGGAAATTAAAGATTATGGGGAGGAAGATTTACAGCTTAGACACATCAAGGTAACAAAACCTTTGCTGTTTTTGGAAGTGTGTGGGAGTATTTTCAGATTTTTTCACAGTTTAAGAATTCTAGTTTGGCCTCTTCTCCCCATATAAATGTCCCCTGCTATCAAAGATGGTATTTTTTTCAAGGTAGGATAGGCCCAGGCCAGCTTATTGCGCTTTTGCCTTGCTGACCAGCTGACCAGGGAGCCCTGGCTCATACTGTGCCACCAAGCACAATCCTGTTAGCACAGTCTGCTGAGTGTTGTCACTGCTGGGGGTTTTACTCGAGCCCACAGTTCTGGAACATTCCAGGAACGTTAACCAGCTGTTCTTGCGCAGCCGTAAAGAACCAGACAGCTAGGGCAGACTCATTGGGAAATGAGATGACTCAGGTGCACAGAACAAGGTTATAGGACCCTCGGTTGTGAGAAAACTTTTGGATAAAGTTGCATTTCCTTTCCTGTAGACCCCAGTTGAGCTCCATGCCAGCCTTCACTTTATAAACCTGCTAAAAATCTTGTTTAGCAAATAAGATTTTTTTTCCCCCTTTGCAATAGGGTACCCCATTGGAAAAGAAAGGGAAGAAGGGTATCTTTTGCATTGGTCATGGTCTGATTTTTGACATCAGGCCAAAGACATTCTTGAGACATTGTTCCAAAGATGCAGTTGAGTTCAGTTATTGCCTTGTGTGGGTCCCTGGAGTCATGGAAATTAGCAAGATGTGGTCCTTGCCCTTTGGGTCTCATAGTCAATGATGAAGTAAGTGGTGGTGATAGTAATGAAGTGAAGACATGCATTATGTCTTCATAATGTGATTGTTATCTAACATTGTAAGGTTGACTTTAAAAAAAAATCTTTGTTGTGTTGACTTCAACTCATGGTGACCACCAATGGCAGAATAGAATTGTGCTCCATAGAGATTTTAATGGCTGATGTTTTGGAAGTAGATTGCCAAGATGCTCTTCCCAGGTGCCTCTGGGTGGACTCAAATTACCAGCCTTTCAGTTACCATTAACTGTTTAACCATTGATGGTGGTGGTTATGTGCCTTGGAGTTGGTTCTGACTCATAGTGACCCTGCATAGGGTTTCTGAGACTGTAAATCTTCACAGGTGCAAAAAGCCTCATCTTTCTCCCTCAGAATGGCTTGTAGTTTTGAACTGCTGACCTTGAGGTTAGCAGCCTGACTGGTAACCACTACGCTACCAGAGTCCCTTTGTTTAGCCATTAGCACCACTCAGTGTCATCTAGGAACCCTGGTGTGGTACTGTAGGATAAGCACAGAGCTGCTAAGCACAAGATTAGTATTCAAACCCACCAAGCCACTCCTTGGAACCCCTACAGGGTCAACAGGAAGTGTCACACTCCTTGGAAATCCTATACAGGGTCAACAAGAAAGAGTACTTTTTTTCCAGGGGATGAAACAACATTGAGCTTTGTCATATCACTCAACCTCAATGTCGGTTTAAACCTTTTTTTTCCCCCTCAAATTTCTAGAAACCTGGTGAATGGCTAAGACAGACCTGATATGACACAGTTAAAGTTGTCCAGAATCTTATTTCCTCAGTTGTCTGTACTTGCCTCAGTGGCCCTAATCAGGAGAGACCCTAACCCTCCCTGGCCTGAGTACAGAGTTCAGCTGGTGCCATAACTCCTGCAGCCTCTTACTAGTTGCTTTGTTACCTTCAGCTAGAATTTTCTCAGAGGGTTGAACCCTCAACCCCCAGGTTGTTGTTGTTGTTAAGTGCCGTCTAGTTGATTTCAACTCATAGCAACCCTGTATAGGGTTTCCAAGGAGCAACTGACTGGTGAGCTTGAACCACAGACCTTACAGTCCACCCTCAGGTAGTCCTTCTGAGTAACTACCGTCTCTCTGTATGCACTGTCTTCATGGACTTGCTGAAATTGGGCCAGATCTCAGGCAGATGGTGGCACATACGAGGAAAAGAACCTTGTGCCAAATCAAATGTTGGGCTCCAAATTCTAGTTTTAGCTTTGTCCGTAATTCACCATGTGACCCTGAATATAGTCTTTCCTCTCTCTGAGCATTGTTTTCTCATGTATAAAATGAGGGCTTTAAACATTAAAAAAAGAAAGGAAAAGAAATGAAAGGAAATCTCTTAAGAGCATCGCCCAGTGCTTACATTCCTTGAACTTTTTAGTTGAGCGCTCCATGTTTAGGCAGTGAAGACACAGGGTAAAGAAGACATGCTCCCTGCCCCGTATTGGAGTAGAATAGTGTTTTTAATGCCCTCCTTAACTAAAGCATTCTAGAGAAAAAAGTTACTCTCTTTTGCTTTTATATCTTTTGTTTTTGAGGAGATTTGGGTGGTAACACCTCTGGGAACAGCTTGGATGGTAACACCTCTGAGAAAGTCTCAGAGGTGCCTAGGCACTGGGGGTAGGCGAACCTTAGAGGGTGGTCCCAGTGTAACATCCATATCAGAGGCAGGCATGTTGGGTGACTTTGGGCATGCCCTTACTCCGTCTTACTCCATTTCCCCACTTGTAAACTGAAGGACTTTGACTAAGTGTTTGCAAAGATTTCTCCATGCACTGATATTCTGTGGTTCTGTGATTCTAGGATTGTCTGGGGAAATATTGAGCCGCAGTCCAAGAAAGTCCCAGCTGCCCTTGCCTGAACTGATTCTCGTTGTCCTACACAGAGACCTGAGGGGCGGAAGCCGAGCGAAGGGGCGCATAAGAGCATCGAGGCAGTGGTGGCCCGGCTGGAGAAGCAGAACGGCCTGAGCTTGGGCCACAGCACATGTCTAGAAGAGGTCTTCGTAGAGACCTCTCCGGGCACTGACGACATGGACAGTCTGGAGGATGCTGTTGTGCCGCGGGCTCTGTATGAGGAGCTGTTACGCAACTACCAGCAGCAGCAGGAGGAGATGCGCCACCTCCAGCAGGAGCTGGAGCGGACTCGGAGGCAACTGGTGCAGCAGGCCAAGAAACTCAAGGAGTACGGGGCACTCGTGTCCGAAATGAAGGAACTCCGCGACCTCAACCGAAGGCTCCAGGATGTGCTGCTCTTGCGGCTTGGCAGCGGTGAGTGCCCCACAGGCCACCTACCACCCCACACGGGCAAGGAGGGCAAGGAGACCGGGCAAACCAAGGCCCCTGAGGCTAGAGAGAATTGGCTCAGCAGTTACCCCAAGAAGAGACGTTCCCCTCCCACATTGAATCTGGTAGGAGCTTAGGAATGCAGCTGCCTAGTTCTCTAGAACACAGTGGTAAATGTGGCTAAGAGAACAAGATCTGACAGAATATTTATCTTTGTTCATTCGTGCATTCATTCTGCAAGAGAGAGGTAGTACCAGGAATTAAAGGGAACCTCTTGCCAAAGAGGGTTCAGAATAGTCAAGAACACTAGACATAATCTTAAAAAAGTATATTCCCTTAAATCAGAAAGTGACAAATGCCATAGGAGTGATACCAGTGAGGTGACTTGAGAGAACCAAGGATGAAGAGATTATTTGCAAGTGAGGGATGGAGGAGGACTTTAGGAGGGTAGTGGATTTCAGCTGGCCCTTGAAAGGTAGGTGGTGTTTTAAGGCTCAAGAGGAGACAGAAGCTAGCAGTCTAGGTCATGGGGAAACACCTGTGCCATACCAAAAATGTAGTGTGAGGGCAAATGAGCTGTACTTGTTTGGGTTAGAACAGGAAGCATTAAGCTTTTAAGCAGGAAGACATAGGACCTTAGGAAGAGTCATATAAAGATGCATACTAAGAACTCCTATGGTTTGTTCATTGAGGAACTTACTAGGCTCTTATGATTTTAACAAACAAGGTTTGTTAATGTGGTTTAGAAGCAAGAATCAGCATCAGCCTTGGAAGTAGGGAGAAATGACTGCTTACCAGAGAGGAAAAGGCTGAAAAATTCTCAGTGACAATTCTGAAACATAGAGGCCAGTCAGTATAGAGAAAATCAGTAGAACAAAAGCCTCCATAGTCCCTGAGAATGCTGAATAATGAATAATTAAAAAATACTCCTCAGTTGCTGAACTTTGCTTTGACAAGGGAGCAGTCTTGAAACACTGGTTCTACCCCTAAAGTTGACGTTAAATAAAAATTTTCATTCAAGAAGGGAAGCTTCTGTTTATCTAGATAATGTTTTATATGTAATACCTCCTTTCACTTTGGTGTTTAGATAAATGTACTATTACCCTATTTTGCTCAGTAAGTTCCCAAGCAATGTCTGAGTAGATATTCAAGGTGATTCCTGGTTATTAACAGGGGTTTTTTTTTTATGCCCTGAACAGAGAAGGAAACTGAAGTGGAGATGCTTGGGGAAGCAAAGCTCAGTCTCAAATAAGTCACTTGATTCATACACAGACCAATGATATTTCACTCCGGAATTCTACCTTTGTCTTGGGCACTCTCCAAATCAGAGCCTGTAGAAGCTCTCAGTAACACTAAAGGTCGCATGTCATTTACAACTGGAAAAAAATACTTCTTAGAGTTTTTTTAATTAAAACAAAATACAAAAGAGAGACCTTGTTGTTGTTGTCAGGTGCCATCGAGTCGGAACCGACTCATAGCGACCCCATGCACAGCAGAACGAAACAATGTCCGATCCTGGGCCAACCTCACTACCGCTGCCACACTTGAGTCCCTCAGTGATGCCACCTGGCCAATCCATCTCGTTAGGGGTCTTCCTCTTTTTCTCTGACCCTCCACCTTGTGTCAAAAATTGTGAAAACTGAGTGGGTCTTGGATTCTGGAGCAGGATGAAATCTGGAATTTTTAGAGAGAAAACATGTTTTCTGGTCTTGGAATGAAAAGTTTCTATTTTCGTTGCTCTCTACATGGTAGTATGTCTTTTGGTGGGAAAATAATTTGGAAAAAGAAAACAAACCCCTCCCTGCAAAGAAAAAACACCATACTAACAACAGAAATTCTCTACTTAAGCTAGCTAGACTGCCTGAGTTTAAACAGCAGAAACTATTCCTAAAATGCTGGGCAATACTACACTCTGCATTTTGCAACAGCATATGCCCCTTTTAATCCTAAAACACTTAGATAGACTTGTAGAATCTCTTCCGATTCTCCCATCTACAGGCTCTGATTGCCGCTCGCTCTTCCCTGATCCACATCACAATATGTATCACAGTTGGATGAATGGTGTATAAATTAGCTCATGTCACAAGTATACATGAAGCACCCCACATATGCACAAAAATAAAGCGAAGAGGTCTCTACCCTAGAGGGGAGGCTGTTTTCATGAATAATATGGGCCTTGGTTCAAATCCCAGCTTCCCCATTTACCAAGTCTGTGACTTTTGAAACCATCCTTCCTCCCTCCTTCTCTCCATCCACAAATGTTTACTGGCTTCCTGCTGTATGTCAGGCACTTTACCAAGAGGTGGGAGTTCAATATATTTGAGATCTAGCCTTTGCCTCTGTCCAGGAGGAGCTCCAAGTTTGATGAGGGCTATACTCACTGCAGCAATCAATGATAGAGTATTCCATAAATGTGATCTCAGGGATAAAAGGACAGGGAGCTGTTGGGCAGCTGGGGAGGGACACTTACAGGCTTCCTGAAGGCAATGGCATATAAGCTGAGGCTTGAGGATGAAATGTATTCAGGTCGGAATGAGTGAGTGGAACAAAATGGGAAATGTTGTAGCAGAGAGCACCTCTGAGCCAATATGTTCTCACCTGTAAAATGGAGTGTGTGTTTCATAGCCTTGTAGGACATAGCATTGTGCTTGGCATTCTGTTGATGCTCAATTACTGTCAGTTTCTTTTCTAAATCACTTAGTAGAGAAACTAAGACAGAGTCTGGCTGACTATAAACTCTGGTCCCCACACCACTAATTAGCTGAGTGACCTTGGGTAGGTTCATTAATTTATGCCTTTCAGGGTCGTCTTCTACTATATAAGATAAAGAGTATACATATGTTTGTTCATTCTGTCAGTTAACATTGATTGGATGTTTTCCGAGTCTAAGAACTTGGGGAGATACAAAGAAGAATAAGACATTGGAGAGGGGAGGCTAAACTAGGTGAGCATGTAATTAAAATGCAATGTAACCGGGAGTTCTTGGGAAGAGGCTAGTATTAGAAGATGCAACTCTATTGGTGAGTCTGAAAGACAGCCCGTGAACTACTAGCTCCTGATCTGTAAACATCACCAAAAAGCTATAACAAAGCTGAAAACAGGCAAAAAGTGCCCTGGAAAGCATTAGCAAACTCTTGGCTGATTCTTAGCTTCACATGCCCTCTAAAGAACACAGACTGGCTTGGGGTTGATGTGGCCTGGGCTGTGCCATCTTCTGCCCTCTGTGCCAGGCTTGACCAAATGTCTTGGGAGTCCTGTCCTTAGGCATTTTTACTTATCCATCTCACCCAAGGACGCAGCTTGAGGGCCTTTGTACATCTTTGGTGCTGGATTATTCATATAATAGGCAACTCCAGAGACCAGGGAGGCCAACAAGTCAGAAGATACAAATTTTAAAAGGAATACTTCCCACCTGTAAGACCAGGAAACATTACTCACTGCCACAGGCAATAGAGGGTCTCTAGGTGGCTGATAAGAGAACAGGAGCCTGACCTCCTGAACCTGGTGGAGACTTTGGAGCAAGGAGCATGCCCCAGCAGCTAGGAATTATAATGGTGCATATCATGGAGACTGGAGACAGAGGGAAGAGCCAAGGGTGAAGACAGCAGCAAGATGTTATCAGAAGACGTTTCAGTGACTTCAGTGAATGGTTCATTTCTTTATTTGTGCATTTATTCATTCCTTTTTTCATTCATTCCACAAATAAATACAAGGTGAATTTAGCAGGCTAGATCCTGTAGAGCATAGTCTTGGAATTGCGAAAGAAATTTGAGAAGGTATATACTGATGCCCATGTTTTGCTGATGAAGAAACAAGCACAGAAAATATCACTGGTCTATTCCCAGAGGTCTCCTAACACCTGGTCCTCTGAGTCTCTCTCCGGTCCCTCACCCTGCATGGCCTTCTTCAGCCCTTGGCTTTAATAGTAACCAATGTAGGGGTTGGTTCCCCAAAAGGAACACATCCTCTTTTCATAAACTAGAATCCGCCCTTTCTGTGATCTTAACATTGGAAACAACCCTTCCTGATGATCAGTCATATGATCAGCATGCTCCAAAGGTTCAGTAACTGCCAGTCCTCTTTTCCTTTTCCTTCCTTTCCTATCCCATTCCCGCAAAGAAGTAAATGCTGAGGATGCAAAAAGCATGAAGACGTATGCATTTACAAGGTACAGATTTCTTCATGTGTATATTCATTCGTTTACACTTCATTTTTTTTAACAAACATTTATTGAGGACATGATTAATGCCAGGCACTACACTAAGTGCTGGCAATATAGAAATGGGCAAGACAGAATCCCTTCCTTTAAATATCCACAAGTCAGTGGTTTTGAGCAGTGATTTTTTTACTGGTGGTTAGCAGCTTCCAGAAAACTCAAAAGGATGAAGGAAAGCAAAAACAGTACAGATACAGTGGGAGGGGTGAGCTTCAATATGTTCGAGAAGGTCTGGTTCAGTTTCTCCTCAGCTACATTAGGAATTCTCAGTTTTTTTGCACAGTAAATTCTGTTTACTACTGTTATCCGCAGAGTTGGTGGTTCAAACCCACCATTCACTCCTCAAAAACCCTACACAGTGTCACTATGATTTGGAACTGATTCAATGGCACTTAACAACAAGAACAAACTACCCATTCCATTAGGTCAATTCCAATCCATAAAGATGCTAGAGGACAGAAAGAACAGTCTCTGGTGGTTTAAATTATCATATATGCCTGAGTGATTTTGTTTTTTTTGTTTTTTGTTTTTAAAAATAGAGAGAAATACTGTTAACTATGATCGTACATGGAAGGGATTATAATCATTTTAATGAAACAAAGAATATGATTTGTTGAATGAAAAACTGATGATCTGCCCTGTAAACTTTTCCTCAATTCACAGTAAAAACTTAAAAAAAAAGGAATACTTCCCACTTGTAAGTACATACAGCTCATTATCCTAGGGACTGGTATTGGTGATTTTGAGTGATACAATCATGTGGTTTACT